TCTGATGACCTCGAAATGAACCTACCCAGGGCAGCAATTCGTCTCGTTAGCCTTTGTACGACCGTCACGCTATCCACGATCGTGATATCCTCGATGGCCTTGTTCTTATCGGGGTTAATTTTGATACCCCGATTTGACACCATGAAGCCGAGGAACTTACCCGAGCCGACTCCGAAGGCACATTTCTCCGGGTTAAGCTTCATATTGTACTTTCTCGAAATTTTGAATGTTTCCTGCAAATGAGTCAAATGGTCCTCTGCGCGCAAGGACATAACCAATGTATCATCAATGTAAAATTTCATTATTTTACCTATTTGTTCTTCGAACATTTTGTTGACTAGGCGTTGATATGTAGCTCCCGCATTTTTTAGCCCGAAGGGCATTATGTTGTAACAATAAGTTCCAAATTTAGTAATAAACGAAGTCTTTTCCTGGTCCTCCGGGTTCATCTGAATCTGATTGTACCCAGAGTAGGAGTCGAGAAAAGTTAGGATCTCGTGGCCGGCCATGGCGTCGATCATACGATCGATGTTGGGAAATGGGAAAGAGTCTTTTGGGCATGCTTTGTTCAAGTCCTTATAGTCTACACACATTCTAAGTTTATTTCCCATTTTAGGAACTACTACTACATTGGCTAACCATTCGGGGTACTTTATCTCCCGAATAGACCCTACTTTAAAAAGTATGGTTACCTCGTCCTTTATGAATGCATGTTTCACCTAGGACTGGGGCCTCCTTTTTTGCTTTACCGGTTTGAACCTGGGTTCGATGCTTAGCAGATGTGTGGTGATTTCCGGTGGAATCCCTATCATATCTAAATGGGACCAAGCAAAGCAATCCATATTATCAATCAGAAATTGAATAAGTTTTTTCCTGAGTTCGGGGGTTAATCCCGTTCCCAGGTATACCTTTCTCTCCGGCATGTATTCGATCAGTATGACCTACTCCAGTTCCTCGACAATAGATTTGGTTGCATCGGACTCTTCGGGAACGACGAAGGTTCGAGGAGTAAGGAAGTCCTCTTCTTCGTCTTCGATTACCTGATGCTCTAATTCCGTCGAGGCTGGGGGCGGTGATTGCTATTTAGCCACCTGCTTACCTTTGGTGCTCGATTTCTCCGAGGTCGAAGGCTCTGGTATCGGCACCACTTCCTTGACTGCAAACATCTCCTTTGCAGCATGTTGCTCTCCGTAAACTATTTTCACTCCCTCCTCTGCTGGGAACTTCATCATCTGGTGAAGAGTTGAAGGCACTGCCCTCATGTTGTATATCCATGGTCTCCCGAGAAGTGCATTATACCTCATGTCGCCTTTGATGACATGGAATTTTGCATCCTGTATGGTTCCGGCTACGTTTACTGGTAGGATTATCTCCCCCTTTGTTGTTTCACTTGCCATATTGAAACCATTTAAGACCCGGGATGCAGGTACAATCTGATCTTGTAGGCCGAGTTGTTCCACGACCCTCGATCTGATTATGTTTGTTGAGCTACCTGGATCCACTAGAACACGCTTAACTTGAATTTTATTTAAAAGAATAGAAATTACCAAGGCGTCATTGTGCGGTTGAGATACGCCTTCTGCTTCCTCGTCACATAATGATAGGACGTCCTCGGGCACATAGCTCCGAGTCCGCTTTTCTCTGGTGATTGATACCTTGGTGCGTTTGAACACAGGTCCTTGTGGGATGTCGACACCGCCAACGATCATATGGATTACATGTTGTGGTTCTTCCTGCTCATTTTTTCTTGCATCTCTCTCTCTGAAGTGGTTTTTAGCTCGATCACTGAGAAATTTTTGAAGGTGACCCTCGTTGAACAGCCGAGCTACTTCCTCCCTTAGCTGCCTACAGTCTTTGGTTCTATGGCCTTATGTGCCATGATACTTACACATCAAATTTGGATTCCTCTGAGAAGGATCGAACCCGGTCTTACTCATGAGTCCCCGAGATCTTTGACCTCGATCATTTCTCCAATCGTTCCGAGGTGCGTTACGACCTGAACCATTGCTTCTCCGATAAACATACGACTGATACTGTTCTTTGTTTGACCTCGATTCCCTATCCGTATCCCTCGGGGGCTTAGCTGCCGACCTGTTAGGATAAACTGAATCAAGGGGGCTCCCAACTGGTCATCCTCGACCATGATCTTTGATTGGTAACGGTTATGTACGTCCGACCACGTCACAGCTAGATACTCGATCAGATTCTGCTTTAGTTGTCGAGACACGATCGAACTCCTTTCATTCAAACCCTGCATAAAAGTTTGTACTGCCCAATCATCCGAGACTGGTGGTAACTCCATTCGCTCCATCTGGAACCTAGACACGAACTCCCTCAGCACCTCATCCTACCTCTATTTTATCTTGAAAAGATCCGATTTTCTCTTTACCACCTTTATGGCTCCGGCGTGCGCTTTCACGAACGCGTCTGCTAACATAGCAAACGAATCAATAGAGTTAGAAGGCAAGTTGTGATACCAAATCATAGCTCCCTTTGACAATGTTTCTCCAAACTTTTTCAACAATGCTGATTCGATCTCATCGTCATTCAAGTCATTTCATTTGATCCCGCAAGTGTATGAAGTAATATGCTCATTAGGGTCGGTTATCCCGTTATATTTGGGTATATCGGGCATGCAAAACTTTTTAGGGATGGGCATCGGAGCCGCGCTCTGAGAGAATGGTTTTTGTATGAACTTTTTTGCATCTAAACTTTTCAAAACTGGAGGTGCCCCCGGTATCTGGTCAACACGGGAGTTATAAGTCTCCACCTTTTTATCATTGTCCTCGATCTTCTTTTCCCCGAACTCGATCCTTTTGGTGAGCTCTTCGAGCATTCTCACAATGGCGGGGTCAATCCCCGAGTCATTTCCGTTCGACCTCTCTGGCGCTGGTTCAGCACGTCGAGTGTTTTCTGGTTCAGCTATACTCGGAGTTTTATTCTGACTTTGAAGTTGAGCGATGGCGATCTGCTGAGCTTGCAGCATCTCGAATATCACTTGGAGGCTGACTTCCCCATCTCCTATACCTGGTGTTCCTTGGCCCCCAGATAGGGCTTCTATGCATACACTCCCTCCGGGGTCTGCGCCTAAATCTGCATTTAAAGCAATGTGCGAACTAACGTCAACTGGTTCCAAATTTGGCATTTCCCCAGGGTTTATTGGTGGTACACCGACCCCTAAATTGTTATTTTCCCATGAAATCCAAGACCTTCGTTGTCATGAACAGGTGTATTTTGCGAGTTCGACATGTTTAATCCTGAGAATCAGAAAATCTTGACAAGAAAAAGCCTAAAAATGACGTGTGTATGAGAATCAGTAAAGAAATAATCACTATTATCTTTAGCCCCACGGTGGGTGCCAAATTGTTTACCTCGAAAATACGAGTAACAATTAAATTTGATTTGTGGTTTTAAAGATACGTGATTTAATTCAATACCAATTAATAATCAAGAAATCTTGAGTGTAGATGAAAGAAATGGATGAATCAAACTAGTGTTACTTAAGTAGCTGACCTCGAGCTCAGTGACCTCGAGATGGACCAAGAACAATAAAGTAAGAACAATAAAATAAAAGGACAGCTCTGATGAACAATAAGCGAGAAAAGTAGGATGATATATTCTTTGCCAATGATTAGATGATGTTACAAATGATTGGTGTGCCCTTATATATTAGGGAAACCCTAAATAAGGTACATTTCTATTTATAGTAAGGAACATCATTGGTACAGCTGTCTAACCGCCTAATACGGAATCGTACAATCTTATTTCGGGATTTGCGCCATGATCTTGGGGACGTGGTAGGAATCTTGATCATTTGGTTACAAATACATAACGACATTATTTCAAGGTCGAGCGTACTCGACTTCGGTATTCCTCGTACTCCTATCTTCGGGCATCGCATTTTGTCTTCGAGCTCGAGTCCGGTCCGTCGACCTCGAACTCGACCTTACTCAAACTCGGACCTAAGGCGACCCCTCGAGCCTGGGAAATCGGGTGTGCCTGATTTTGACTGTATACAAGGTGATTAGGCAAGACATGGCGCAGCTTCAGCTAACCGAGGACATGACCTTTGATAGGAAGGTATGGAAGTCGAGGATTAGGGTAGTAGAGTAGGTAGTCTAGAGTGTTCATAACAATAGTATTGACACGCAGTCTCGCTTTCTATTAGTAGTAGATTTTTATGATTAACCGTTGTTTTCTTTCATTATCGATCACCTTACTGTCTTGTTGTTTTTATTTTGCTTTTATATAGCTTTTTGGTACTGTCCCTTCTTGTCTATATTTTCGTTAATGTGGTGCTTATGTTATCGCCGAGGGTCTATTGGAAACAGTCTCTCTATCCTCACAAGGTAGGAGTAAGGTCTGTGTACACACTACCCTACCCGGACCACACGGGGTGGGATACTGGGTCTATTATTATTATTGTTGTTTATTTTTATCATTAACTAATTATTCTCACAAATTATTTCACGAGACGTTTTTTATTATAATTATTATAAATATATGATAAAACATGTATTTTATTTATCATATGTATCTCGATCCAATTAAAAGAGTGAGAAACGAAAAAGAACCCCCACTTTTACATGCAAAGCACGAATTGCTAGGAGTGGGAGAGCATATAGTTGTGTGCTGCCCCTACCACCACCCATAATGACCAATCACAAAGGCGCCAACACGCTGTCGTTAACGACATGCTTTCATGTTTCACTCAACTAAGCATTCATTAATTAACTTAAGTATTTTTAATTAACTAATTCCATTATACCTCAAGAAGATACGGAGCTGTATTCTTCCACTTCCATACGTGGGGCCACCCACCACTCACGTGACAGACGTGCAGCAGATACAGAGAGCCCAAATCGGTGCAATCTTATCTCTCATCTTACCTGGCATCCGCGTGGACTACAACCGCCAACACCGCAAGTGAACATCAAGCATCAAAAGACCAACACACCTAGGATTTACAATTGACAAGCCCACACATTATCTGTCTCACTATTTTTTTCTTACTTATATAATCATCAACTGTCTCCTCCTCCACTTCCCACTATAATAATCCCTTTAAAGAAGCTGCAAATTTTCATATTCAAAGCTATCTGAGATGGATGAATACTCAAAAGAGTGTGAGTTTTGGCTTCCGCCGCAGTTTCTAACTGATGATGACATTCTTTTAGGGTTTAAGACTAACAGTAAAGGGGAGGAAAATGAAATGAAGAGTTACTTTGGGTGTGATTTTAAGAACGAGTTCTCATATATGTTGGGTCCGAAATCGGATCTGAGTTCTCCGGTGGAGTCAGTTGTCGGCTCAACGGAGACAGAGAGTAGTGATGAGGAAGATTATATCACTGAGTTAACTCGCCAAATGGCTCACTCCACTCTTGAAAACCACAAGGTATCTATATATTAACCTTTTTTGTTTTGTTTTTGCTGTTGCTTTACTTAACTTAGGTTTTAATTTTTTTCCCTTGTTTTTGCTTTGTGTAGGTTCAGAGTTTGTCAAGTTCTCCTCAGTCAACGTTATATGGTATTCTCGGGTCAAAACATCAGGGTTCAAAAATTGTAAGCCCAAATTGCTCTTCTCAGAGTAGAAATGGGGTTGTGGATTTACTTTATGAAGCAGTGGGCGAAGTTGCAAGAATGAAGATGATGGAGAAAGAGGCTGGAATCTATCGTCATAAAGGTGGAATGTGGACTCCGCCCAGAAAGGCAAGTCCAGTTCCTGTAGACCCAAAAAACTCTAAACCAAATCTTGGTTCGTTTTACTCTAATCAACCACCGCAGTCTTACCAGCAGTTACAAATGGCTCAAGTAAGTTTCAGTACTTCATTATCTGGTGCTGACCATACTATTTCTGGTTGTCGTTTTGATTTTTACAGTATATTGATTTTTATGACTGGTTTTGCAGTTTCAGCGGTTGAAGCAACAACAGATAATGAAGCAAGGACAAGGAGTATTGTGTCCCGAAAAAGAGAGATTTTGGAACCAGCAGCAGTTGAATCAGGGGAGAGGCCAAAATGGAGCTGATAGGTCAGTTTCTGCTTGGCCGACTCTGCAACAATCTCACCAGCAGCAGCAGCAGCAGCAGACTCAGCCTGGCTCAGGCATGCGAGCTGTTTTTCTAGGAAATACTGGACCCAAAAGGGAGTGTGCTGGAACTGGGGTTTTTATTCCCAAAAGACCTGGAATACAAACTGAACCAAGAAAGAAGATAGGTACTACCTTTTATTTTCCCCTGTTTTATGAACTTAATTTCAAATTCAAATATAGAAATGCTTGTTTATAATTTTACTATGTGCATTTTAGCAGTAATTTAACAGTGGGTCGAACTCCTTTTGCGTATCTTATTTTATTAATTTGCTGATAGTGGGAATGTGAGACTGGACTTTTGGACTATTGTGGCTCTGTTTTTTCAGTTATATGTATTTTTGTGTTCTGTGTGTTTTTGGTGTGTATGAACTGTAAAGATAAATTCAGAGTATAATCCTATCTGTTTGACACACATCACCTATGTATTTTTCTTGTGTTCTCATTGTCTCATGTTATTTATTTCTCTATTTTAGGGGATACAATTTGTTCTGTTATGCTTATGTGTTTGGTCAAACTTTGTTTGTCGATTACCAGGTTGTTCGACAGTTTTAATGCCAGAAAGAGTGGTCCAAGCCTTGAATCTGAATTTGGATGTAATGGACTCTCGGCTGCAGTTTCTGGTTCAACCCAGTTGTAATAATGGTATAAACTATTTACCTCTACCAAATTAACTTTTTAGTATTGTTTATTACTGGTCGTTGGAATGTTTTTTAATTTAAAATCTTTTGTTTAGGTGGTGTTTTGAAGTACCAGAATAATTTGGTGGATCAACAAAGACGCAGTTTGAGAACTCAGCCGGCGGTTAAATCCCAAGAGATAATACTTCCTCAGGAGTGGACTTATTGACCCAGAAATTGTATTTGCGATAGGGATTCTTTACAGTATTTTGAAGATAGTTTAGTCGCAAATGGGATGGGCTTTTTGGGTAGTAAAAGTAGGGTTTAAGGGAGAGAGGAAGTAATTTTCACAGTCCTCAAGGAGTAGAATTAGGCAGCAGACAGACTCTAGTATCAAGAAAATTGCTGGATTTTGAGGTTCTCTTTTGTTTGGTTTTAGATTAGATTATACTAGTAATGACAAAAATAAATGTCTAAAGTCAAGAAATCAAGAAAGATGATTGGGTCGTGTTTTGGTGGAAAACTGGAAATGCAGTTCCCTTTGTTCTTCATGTTTTATCAGCAGCTGTATGTTTATTTTGCGATAAAAAATAATGGGGGCAGTTTTCAGGAACTAATATAGTAGTAGTTTAGAAGCTATTTATCGACGCAGCTACTGTTTTCATATTTACTATTCGTAACAAAACATGTATTGCTACTAGCTTGTATTTTCTATATTGTGCGCGCACATAAGGGTGTATTCGTCGCACAACAAATACTGTGAAATACAGAAATATTAGTGTGTATAGACGGATACAAATAATGAAAAATACTTTCTATATGTAAACAAGAATACGTATTTGATCCGTACATTGTGGGATACATATAGTCTATGAAAAACCGGATACAATCAATATAGCCTTTGGGAGATTGGATACAGACTAGAAAAAGCGAAAATTAGTATACAATTATCAAATAGCTCAATTATACATTATACCGAAAAGCAACATCGATAAATAAACTAAAAAATATAGTCAAATCCAGCTACATTCTCAAGCATATAATGTATGAAAAAACATCAAAAATAAAATTGTAAAGTCATAACTGCTGCAACTTCATAAAAAAAAACATTGTATCAGATTGTATTCAAAAATTAAAATTTTCATGTCAGAAGTCAACAAGTCATGTAGAGAAGCCACAGAAACTCAAATCTCAAATGAAGAAGACGACTCAAATCACCAGGGGGGGGGGGGGGGTCCAAGAGAATCTGGTTGAACATAAATTGATTTGTGATGCCGAAGTATTTGACAGCGATATGTGAGAGTAGTTGTTGGAGAATAACAGAAATATTTAGTGGGGTAATTCAATAGTGATTTTATCGCCTTCTGTTCCATTTCCGATTGTATCTCTACTACAGAATTGGTCAATTTGATGTCCCATTAACTTCTTAAGATAAACTGAAGAATCATATGAATCAAGGATATGGATCTAAACTGAAGAATCATATGAATCAAGGATATGGATCAACTGTTTAGAGTAAGTAAAAATGGTAGAATCGTAGGCGGCGGCGACTGTGGCGTCATTGACGGACTCAGAAGTTGGAGGAGGAGTCAAATATGTTGGAAGAGAGTGTTGGACTTTAAGCTTGTTAGAGCTTAAAAATAGAGCGAATGGGAAATTGAGAGAAAAATTAAATTTTTTTGAATTTTCTTCTACGACAAAGAGACAATGTCTA